CCTTCCTCAGAGCCTGGACGTACTTTATGTTAGAATACTTTTTATTATTCGGTGGAAAAGAAGGTTAAAAGTATTAATGAAGATGAAACTTTCAAATAGACGCCATATTGAACAGAAAGGCCACCCACCGTCATGTTACGTGCGAGACTGGCCCACACGTAGTTCACGCGAGCAAGACACGCCCCGGGGTCAAAATATCATTTTGAAATAGGGCGCCAGGTCACGTGTGATAGTGAGGCATTCGTCCTTCCGGTTCATCTTTGGATTTTTGAAATTTATCCAAAACGCCTCAAGAGTTTTGCGCGTTGATGTTTTTGATTCCTGCGCTAGGACCCGCACATTCACTTCAAAATCATCGCCGTTGTGCATTTGTGCCCTATGCGTACCTAGAGGAGTACCTTGACGAATTTTGGCCTTCCCACCTAGATGTTCTTTTATGCGGACACAGAGTGGTCTACCCGAGAAAAACCTACCGAGAACTGGCTTCCATTCTTAAACATCCAAATAAAGCTCTCAGTAAGTGGCTATTTAACAAAATGGTATCGCAAGCCAAGTAGTAAAAACGTTCTAGTTCACTGGCTCTCCTCTCATCCTTCACACATGAAGAAAGCACTTATCAAAAGTATGTATCGTACGGCTAAAAATGTGTGTACAGGAGAAGAGGAAAGGAAGGAATCGCGAAACCTGGCACGAAAAATTGCCATTTCCAATGGCTACGAAGTAGAAGCCACTCGGGTTAGAGGAAAACGTTGGGTAGTTTCCCAAAATAATATTTCAGACGAAAGTAGGATCCCCTTTAAGCTGCCCTTCATATCAAATGAAGTAAGTCACGCCATTAAAAAGTGCTTAAGGAAAAGTGGTCTTGAAAATTATGTAACGATTGTTGACATCCCATCCAATACCCGACGCCGCCAGTTAGTTCGAAACCGTCTCTATGATCGTTTGTGCAGCTCAGAAAACTGTATGATGTGTGCTAACGGGAGAGACGGGGAATGCATGAGTTCAGGTATAATATACTTGATCTCATGTAATGCATGAGGCGAGGAATATATCGGGGAAACGGGTAGAGCACTTTGTGTCCGCATAAAAGAACATCTAGATGGGAAAGCTAAAATCCGTTTAAACACCCCTCTGGGTACGCATAGGTCACAAAAGCACAACGGCGATGATTTTGAAGTGAATGTGCGGGTCCTAGCGCAGGAATCAAAAACATCAACGCGCAAAACTCTTGAGGCGTTTTGGATAAATTTCAAAAATCCAAAGATGAACCGGAAGGATGAATGCCTCACTATCACACGTGACCTGGCGCCCTATTTCAAAATGATATTTTGACACCGGGGCGTGTCTTGCTCGCGTGAACTACGTGTGGGCCAGTCTCGCACGTAACATGACGGTGGGTGGCCTTTCTGTTCAATATGGCGTCTATTTGAAAGTTTGATCTTCATTAATACTTTAACCTTCTTTTCCACCGAATAATAAAAAGTATTCTAACATAAAGTACGTCCAGACTCTGAGGAAGGTGAAGTCGCCGAAACGTCGGCCATCGTTCAATAACATCAAAAACAACGACAACGACAACGACAACGAAGATCTGTACCAACCTCGTGTCAGCTTAAGAAGATCAGTTTATAAGATCACATAAATAAATATATCAACTATCTATGCCGAGGTTCATAGAAAGTCGGTCTTTCGAGATATCAACATTGACGTCAAAAGAGGCGTTAGGCAACACGATACCATCTCGCCAAAATTATTTACCGCCACCTTCCTGAACGTCACGCGATCATTGGAATGGGATAATGTGGGAGTGGAAATCGATGGTCGGCAGTTGCACCATGTTCGCTTTGCTGATGACATCGTCCTTGTAACACTAAACATTAGCCAAGCGGAACGTATGCTTGACAACTTTGATAAAGCCTGTGGAAAGATTGGTCTTCGACTAAATCTCACGAAAACGATGTTCATGAAGAACGGATTGGTTTGGCATGCCCCATTCATGCTCAACGGAACGAATACCTCCGAATGCTCCGGTTATACCTATCTAGGTCAGGAAATCAATATAATGAAGAACCTAGTTCCAGAGCTGAGCAGAAGAAAACGAGCGGCTTGGGGAGCTTTCAGGAGGATCGAGGATGTAGTGAAGGGAACAAAGAACACCCGACTCCGTGCCCACCTTTTCGACTCAATGATACTTCCTGTCCTAACGTATGCGTCAGAAACCTGGTCGCTACGTAAGCAGGATGAAAGGACACTCAGCGTTATCGAACGCGCAGTCAAAACAACGATGCTAGGGGTATCCCGTTCCACACAAGTAAGGGATAGGATCGGAAGCTCTGATCTGCGCCAACGATCAAGAATCAAAGATGCCGTTCTGTACGCCGAACAGTCGAGGATAAGGTGGGCCGGTCATGTAATGCGTTTGAACGACAATCGATGGTCAAGAGCCGTTAGTGACTGGGTTCCTCGGGATGTTAAATGCACTGCAAGAAGTCTGCCGACTCGATGGTCAGAGTTCTTCGAAACAAAAAACTTCCAGAGTTTACGAAAAGCCTAGAAGAAAGATATGATGCCCGACGAGTCCCTAGAACGAGCAGAACCTACTGAACTACTCTTGCGCGCGACAGGGAAAAATAGAAGTTTTACTGGCGTCCGCTCGAGTCACTCGACGATCAGTGGGACTCTAGGTGATACAGGTAACCTACAAAAGAAAAAAAACTTCAAAATTGCTAAAAAATACATGAAAGAGCTGAGTTGTTGAGCAAGAAGTATAACAAAAGCGGTAGTCATTTAGTGGAAGGATGAGTGGGGCTAAATCTACTGGCATGAGTTCATATGAATTCACCGCGGCGGCAGTGAGAAATTGGGAGTGAAATACTGGATTCGGTTCGGTACACTTTTCGCGAGCCATCAATTGACTAAAAAAAAGATTGGATGCCTTCACTAAAATCGCAGTCGTCTTGAAAGAATTTTAGTCTAGAAGCAGAAAGTTTCCCTGCAGTTCACAAATACTATTTACAGAGAGTAAAGGCCCTCTCAGAGCGTCTTAAAAGGGATGCGTCGTCACAACAGGAATACAACTGTTCTCCAACCATATTGAAGAGCGAGTCAAAAGTGAAAAAATGGAACAGATCCTCAACTAATAACCGAGTGCATGGCCCGAGTTACCCACACCTATGGGTCATCGTTGTAAGCCCACGAAACTATTGGAAGAATGAGCGCAGGAATCCACACGGCATGTGAGTGCAGGTCATCTAAACGAAATTCAGGAAAGAAATTTTATTCTAGTGGGTTTTACAAGCCAACGATTTCGATACGAAAGTAACCGATATGCGTCCATTTTGTTCGCTCCTTCATTTCCTGCTTAAATTTTTGCCTAGGCACACAGGTTTTGAGTGCAAGCGGTCGGTGTCGTTGCCATGACAACATTCTGAAATCGACCAGTATCCTGTGTGGAATGCTTTGTCCTTTCGTCAACGAGCCGTTGAGCAGCTGCTGACAGAAGGCGCTATACTGCCGAAACGTCAGCTACTGCTGTATTGTATGTGTCTTGGTAAGGAAGTAAACGTATGCTGTATAAAAACCTCCCAATTGCTGAGAAAGAAAACGACGCAGCTACTAAGAATTTCGTGCTTGCGGTTTACCTATTTAAGCCGGCATCTACGCTAAATGTATGTGTAGTTGAAATGGTTCATATTTACTCTCTGAAAGCACAAAAAGTTCTCTTCTTTATTATTGCTGTTAATTTCGTTGTGTTTTTATTAGTATTATGGCTATTATTATCACTGTCATTACTACTACTGCTGCTATTATTTTATTACCCACCCCGAGGACGCGGGTGGCATAGTGGTCGGAGGCGCTCTGCAAAACACACGTGGAATCGGCCCCTGCGCTCATGGCCCACCAAGCCTTACATCCCTCAGAGATTGATGAACGCGAGAGCTTCATGCTTTACCGTTTTATCCTTTATTGCTATTGTTATTATCATTATTACTATTGTGTTTATTATTGTTAATACAACATAACCTGCTGTCAAATGTTCAATACTGTGTATGCTGTATACTGTATACTGTAGCACTTCTCTCATTCGACTAGTTCCCTCGCATTCATCATCCGCGAAGATTATCTAACTTTTTTTGCGTGCGGTTTCGACTACTACTTGAGGGCTTTTTCGTCTTTGTCGTGAATGTCCTTAAGTGCTTCCTGAAATCTCAGGATAGCCGTGTAATGATGTTCCTACATCTATTACAGGTACCTCGCTTATCTTAAACCACTCTGACATATGCTGCTATGCATACTGCATACTTGAATTTTTACACTTTCTATGAGCATTTGTCTTAATTCCAATAACGATATAAAACAATACTAATGTCTTCATTCTGTCGTGGTTGCTGAGCGACTATTTTGAGGTAATACTTAATCAACCAGTATTCATTGTGCCCCTTGCATGGTCTTCGGGCATTTCGCTCTTGAATACTTCTTCAACGTGAATGTAGGCCTTGTTTTCCTTGTTTTCACAAGTTCGACGCTTTGTTTTTTGCTCTGTATAAGTCTATTAAAAAAGATAAGGCTCTCGGCGTTGACCAAACCCTGAGGGATGCGCCATGCATTCGACTTCATTAAGCATCGTTGGAAGGTGATTGAATGCAAATCTGGCCTTTACAGTGACTCGCAGCGGCCCGACGAAGTATCGAGCCAGTGCTAATATCTTCCTAGGCAAGTCTGGTACCAATTAGCAGAACCCGGAGGGATGGAAGGCTTGGTAGGCTGTAGACGCGGGGATTGATTCCACATGTGTGTTGGAGGGTACCTCCGACCACTGCACCACGCGCCTCCTTACAAGTCTATATAACCTTCCAGAATTTCCCTCTCCTGCTTCTCTTTCCTTTCCTTGTTTTCGATTAAATGTTGTATTGTCATTGCTTATCTGTATCTATTAGTGGCTCTCACTATGAGGTGGAAAAATTAGCACTTTTTCAAGTTAGTAATTCTATTTATTTAGAATGACAATACGCATTTGGGTATGGCTTCGCGGCGAATTCCTTCTGGATTCCTTTCTACCACTAGATTTTTCACCTGGAAAGGGGACGACCTCTCGAAGTCGTACCGAAGACGAATCTGCAGAACCTTCCATTGCTATTAATCAAGCACATGCTCTAGTTGACATGTGTATAATGAGGAAGTGGGATCAGCTAAGGTTTGTATTAAAACTTTTGAGCAGGCCTCCGATACTGATAAGAGCTGATCAAACTGAAAGGAGAACTTAGAGCACTAAAACAAGTTTCTCTCGTCAGGTCCTCACTTCATAGGCTGCTGAACGAAGCATTGTCGATTTTCTTTGAGTTTAGATTGCGAAATGTTCACAAATTTTTCTCAATTTTTTGAATTTTCCTAAAAAACTAAGCGGAAGTCATTCAATAAGTGAATGGGAAGGTCCAGTTTAGCACAAAGAAATGCAGAAGGTGAACTAAAATAAAGTGAAACAAAAAGAATTTGAATACAATAAGCCCTCTATAGTGATGTAAACTTTCTGAAACACTTAGTTTAAATGCTACTTTTTTTTGTATGACCCGTCTTCACGTCCACTGTGCTGATCCCAGCACCTCTCGCATTCGATTCGTTCCCTCGCATCCATTGTCCACGAAAATCTCCCAAGTTTTTATGTCTGCCTTCGGTTCCTGCTTGAGGATTTTCATTTCATCGTGAATGTCGGTTGAGCATTTCTTCCTGGAGTCCTGAGATAGCAGGGCTGGAGCGTTCCCAACTGGATGGCAGAGAGTGGTCGTTGGCCCGGAGCGGAATCGGACTAGCACCATGCTCAGCTCGTGAGGACGTACATCACTACCACTGTGCTATCATCCCATAAAATTTTAAATGCCATAGTAAATATTATGCAGTGGTCTATCTGATACCTAATATGATTGAGACTGCGCAGTTATCAGTAGGAGAAGAGGCAATGATGCTTGAAATCCATTATAACGAAACGGCGATTCGTTCTATAGTGTACACAGATCTATTGATAAGTGTAAGCTGGGCTGCGAGCTAGAATAGAGTGAGCTAGAATAGAACTGAGCAAGGGAAACATGTGAAATAATGTCGTTTCACAGGGTAACTGAGAAATGAAATTAAGGATGCTTTTCGGTTTATTGGCAAGCTTACACCGTCGCTCACCAGTTTCACCTCTACCACCTGTCGCCCCGTTGATCGTCGAATGAACAGGGCGTGCCCCAGTAAAGCTGCCATTTTTCCCTGTTACGTACAGGAGTAACCCAGTGGTTTCTGCTTACTCTAAGGACTCGTCGAGCGTTATATCTTTTTTTACGGTTTCGGGAATCTTTATTATGAATAGTATTTCGGCAGGATTGTCTTCTTCGGGGCCACAACGGTTTGAATCGCGTCTCCACAGTAATTGCTTCCTCTTGCGATGTGGACCCTGTTAGTCATCACATCAAGTCCAATCGACTATAATGGAGAACAAAAGGAATGAAATAACATCATCCTTTAATGCCTTTTCATGCAAGACAGTAGCCACACTGAAGTGAAATGACTACACCTAACAGTTCCCCATGACATAACAGGGCTCTTCGTCGACTGTCGATCGAAGGTGTTTGCTTCTGTGTTTCTAACAGCCTATTCTGCAGCAGTTGGATTAGCAACGATTTGCAAAAGCCTCATGTTAGTTTATCAACAAACCAAAATCTTGGTTAGCAATGCCAAGGTTCAATTAATGTCGGAATTGAAAGCTGTGGTCAGATACGTGATTGGTCATAACCTTTCACAATACGACATGTTGGAGAAAAAACATGGATAAATACCTATAGCAGTAAGTTTTCTTTAAGTGTAAGGCAATGGTCGTCCGTCATGAACGAGCTTGGGCTTAACGATGCTCTTGGTGAAGCCATATTCAGGAGTGCATCTAAATCACAAGTATGTGAGTTTCCTAGCAATTTACATCAAAAATGGATGAGCGCTGATGTCAGACACATATATCCAAATTTTTACATGGGCCACATAAATTCATAGCTTTAGTCCTCGTTAGGGAACGGAGAATCGAAAAAGCATTGATATCCCTTTTGTCATACTCATTATGAGCATCATGGTAGACAAAGTAGTTCATTTATAATTTTGTTGAATAGAATTCAGGTTATAGTAGTTGTAATACACAGTCGACTATTAAATGTCCTTTTTTTCTAATTTTCGCTTTTATACACTTTACTCCTCCCGACGGTTTACCGCCTCATCGTGGCTAGGAGGTGTTCCTGGGCGTCGGGCTGCTGTTTACAGGGAGGGATTCATCCACCCGGCAGGGTATCCTAAGCTGAGGAGGAGTCCGCTGTTTCCACTGTGACTGCCCGTGGTGGTGAAGACCTGGGGCATACTTTGGCCAGGCTGACCTGACCTCGGGATTCCACGAAACCACAATGGCTCAACCAGCAAATATCCGAAAAACCGAAGTTATCCATGGGCCCGCACAACCACTGAGGGTGGACCATTCAAGTATCGAGTAAGCTAGTATACACTTTATTGGCAAAGCTGCTTTTCCATTAAACTAGATAAAATACTTAATGGCAGTTTAAGTGAGCTGGTGTCTCATCACAAGCCCTGAGCCTGAAGTAAAACATGGTTACTGTAACAGCTGGAAGGTTAACCTCGAATAACGTTGCTCAAACGTACGCTTTGTTCACGAGAGCTGTTCAGATCTAGATCTCAAATCCTTCACGTTTTTAAGTTATTCGCCACACTGCCTTCATTAGCTCTACAGATGCTTCTTGTTGGATTGGAATACTTCTCATATGAACTAAATGAGTAAGTTATTGCGCATTCCTTAGTTTGACACCAATTTTTATGAAGTTTTCGTTTTTTCTACTTCAATTTCATTCAAAATAGAGTTCTGATAAAATGTTACAGTATGAAAGAGGAGAAAAGAGGATAAGAAAATAGCTCTAGTTTATCGCTCCAGGAACAGAAAAAGTTATGGAATTGTGTACATAACAGTAACAAATGTCGTTACACGATGAAATCTGTCTAGCCACTTGGTCCACATGCTGCGACTTATGTAGACCTCACCCTATTCTTCGGTTTTCTCCTCTCTCAATCCCACTTGATGTCGTGTCGCTGGGGTCTTGGATTTGGCCTTGGCATTGTTGAGTTGGCGGGACAGGTTTCGGAAGCTGTAATAGCAAGACAAAGAGCTGTTTACTTCGTCAGCTAATTTTCCATGGTGGCTGAATGTACTTGAGCTCTTATTCAGTGAGACAATGATAGACATCTTCCTAGTCGAAATTCGAATTTTCGATGTAAACGCGTGTATAAAAACGATAAAGCTCTGGGCGTTGATTAATTCCTGTGGGGTGTGTCATACACTCGACTTTATTAAGCATGGTTCAGAGGTGACTAAATGCACATCTGGCATTTACAATGACTCGCGGTGGCCTACCGATGTATCGAGTCAGGTTGCTACTCTCTCAGACAGGTCTGCTACCAATTTGCCGACTCTGGAGGGATGGAAGGCTTGGTGAGCCACGGGCGCAGGGATCGATCCCATGTGTATGTTGCAATGTGCCTCCGACCACTGCTCCGCACGCGCCCTGTAGAAGTGGCTTATCCGTCAAAATTCATTGTTATTATTGCAAGCCGATTCAGCAGTATTGTCTCCAAGTTCAAATTCTTACGCGGAATTTCTTTTTCTTATTCTTTATCGCTTAAAATTGATGTAGGTTAGTGTAATGAGGAAATTTCCGTAGATAGATGATTTGACGTCTTTTCTCACAAATCGTTCGTGCTCTGGCTGTCTTCTCATTTCTTTCATTGCCTTGTTATCTTCGTTCGCGGGATTAGTTAAATTTTTGTCTTGATCCAGGTGCCGCTTAGGTATATATAATATGCTACTTCAGCTTAGAATAGATTTCTGAGTAACACATAACATAACCCATCTGTTGAAAATCCTCCTCAAAGGAGTTAAACGAGAAAGATAGAGGAGGTCAAGGGTCATTTGGATTCTCTCGGCGACCCTTCCAATGGCTTCCTCGTCCATCTATCATCTTCATTACTTTTGTATGATAGAGTCTTCCATGTTTGTTATTCGAGACATGTGACACTAAATGTCGAAAAGACAGATTATTGCTTTTCTTATGAAAAACAACTTGGTGCTAAATGAGTAGTAGCTGTCTATTTCAAGGAAAGTCGTTTTATTTATTTTAGGTCAACCATTACCAGGAGTGATGTCGTCACCGCGATGGTCCATGAGCAAATGGGTACTATCCATTAGAAATTTACTCCTAGGCTTAGAAGTTTTTCGCTAAAAAACCAAGTCCATTGCAGAAGATTTTATCGAAGTCTTGTGTCGCAGTGTTACTGACTGCTCCAGAATCGCTATAAAGAAGGATAAAATTGTGCTGACTAGTACACAGCTGAAAAAGGTTTCTTTCAAATCTTCTCAAAACTTCTTTTCTAACAGTAGCTATATTCGGAATAGAATTTGTTCCATGTTCACAAACAGATAGTGGCACGGTTTCTCACACTGATGGATCACCAGCCAAGGTTCACGAGGCTATGTGGTGTGACCAGATGAGGAGGATGGAGGTGAACACGAGTCAAAAGTGTGCTCGTGGTGCCCACGAGACGCCAGTAGTTTAGATTGTATTGTACCGGATTGAGTCATAACTTTCACGCACGTGTACTCATTCTCATGTATGCGTGTGTTAGTGGGTTTACAGTTTGTATTCATGCAAATTCAATCTTTCATTTCGAATGAGTAAAAATATTAAAGTCAAAGAGAGGACAAAATGAAAATTGCCTTGAAGGAGGCCAAACAAATATGCTCGTTTACTCTGGAACAGATCGTCAATGGACCTGTGATTATGTTGGGTGGACGAAATGGGAACTTTCACCTAGCTTTAACCAGTTCTACAAAAAAGATTACATGAACGGCAGGCAGCCACTAACTTACGGCCGAACATGCATTATTTTGCAGAGAAGCGGTGAAAGAGAATCTAAATGAACATGACTGCAATAGCATTTGAAGCTGCAGGGTTTGATAAGACAGCCCACTGCGATCGTGGGCACTTCACCGCCTACAGGACCGCGAAAATCGTGCGTCAATAATCGAAGAGAAGAGTCACTATTTCGATGGAGTAAAAGAGAAAATCTTCCATGCTTTCTGCATATATGGCCTGTACAATCATTAGCGATGGCCTATCGATGTATCAAGTCAGTGATGCTATCCTCCCAGAGAGGTGCGGTTCCAATTTGCCGACTCTAGAGAGATGGAAGTTTTGGTGAGCCTAGACCTCGGAATCGATTCCATGTGAACTGCAGGGCACCTTCAACCACTGCGCTACACGCGTCCTCTATGCTACACGTACCCTGTGATCTAGGAAGTTATTTTAGTAACCTGTTTAGCCTGAACACTGAAAAGGAAGAAATGATTGGCTTGAAGAGAGTACAAGAGATTCGAGGCTGCATTGAAGGGAATGTGCGAAACCCGGTTCCGAGTCAACCTTTTCCACATCATAGTTGTCCATGCTTCGGACGCTGGAGATTTTTCGACACTAAATATGAGGTTAATATCGTAAGAGTTGTGCAGAAAGTGATATTATGAGGTGTCGTTTCGAGCGTGCATGAGAGAAACGCAAAAGTTCTAACCATAGTTCTATCAACAACTATTGATCACAGACGCTACCACATACGCGATTTCAAAAACCATGTGAGGCCGGCAACAAGATGTGTCTAACTGGCAGTCGACGTGTAAGTTTTTTTACAAATAGGTTCGTCCGTATGTCAACTGCACAATAGGAACACAGCCAACTAGGCATAAAAAAGGTAAAGCACTCGGCGTTGATCAATCCCTGAGGGCTGCGCCACGCACACGACTTCATTAAGTATCGTTGGAGGTGATTGAATGCACATCTGGCCTTTACAATGACTCGCGGTGGACTATCGATGTATCCAGCCAGTGCTTCTGTCCACCCAGACAAGTCTGGCACCAGTTTGCCGACTTCGGAGGGATAGAGGGCTTTCTGAGCCATGAGCGCAAGGATCGATCCCACGTTTGTATTGCAGCGCCTCCGGCCACTGCGTCACACACTCTCGGTCAACTAGGTAGTCGGTCTTTTTTAGTGGGTCTATAGCATAGTAATACTGAAATTCCTGGGGCAGTTGATGAAACCGGGCAATTGGGGCATGTGATCCGGATGCACGGACACTTTGCTGGTGTCAGCTCGAGTTTCTCGACCCTCAATGGATAAACAAGTGGTTAAAGTGAAGTAGTGAACGACATTTATTCTTCACTTATGACACAACACTTTTAATTTTAGTTTTTTAACTCGATGGATACTCTTTTCGAGGGAATGATGGAAGATGACGAATCCATTGTTAATAAAGACAAAATCGTCAGCGTTTCGAAAATCATACAAAAGCTATGGTTAAGAAACGGTGAGGTGAGGATGATTTCTCATTTGCTCATGCCTTATTTAAAGATCAAAAAACAGAAAACTACTCTTAAGAAGCGGACTACTAAATCGTGGGATTTAGATATAATTTGATTGCGAAATGAAAAAGCAGGAATGAGGTGCAATAGACATTTATCAATAAAGTAATGTAAATTATACTTCAAGCTCTTCAAGAAATAATATGCAGTTGATAGGCGAAACGAAGCGCCCGCATAGTGTGGTTGTGAACGCGTTAGCCCCTGAAAGGGTAAATACGCGTTCGTTCTCCACTGCAGACACCTGCGGTCCGAAGTTTTGCAAACATCTCAGCAACATTGTGGTTGTTTCACACATAATCACACACATGTTTCACATATATCCTGCCGTGAAAAATTGTAATAGGAAGTAAATGTAAAAAATAAACGTAACAAAGGTTACAATATGTATTTGATTATCTTTCTCTTTTGTTTTAAAAAAGAGTCGCGTGTGGCGCAATGGTTGGAGGCGCCACTGCGACACACACGTGGAATCGATCCCCGCGCCCATAGCCCACCAAGCCTTCCATCCCTCCGGGGTCGGCAAATTGGTACCAGACTTGTCTGGGAGGATGACAGTACTGGCTCGATACATCAGGTAGACCACCGCGAGCCATTGTAAAGGCCAGATGTGCATTCAATCACCTCCAACGATACTTAATGAAGTCGTGTACATGGCGCGTGCCACAGGGATTGATCAACGCCGAGAGCTTTATCCTTTTACTAGCAGTGTAACACAACGAAAAGACATGTCACAACGCTCAAGCTAGTAGAAAACCATCTTTAGACGTGCAAAGTTCGGACTATTACTGACAAAAGCATATACAATGTTTTTCTTTTACGGATATTTGCTTATTTTTCGCAATAATAGTGGTCAGAACTTCACATGTTCAGGTCCTCTTAAGAACGTTAGCCGATAATATGCGTAGATGTTTGGTGCAAGATCCATTTGTAATAGATGACTTGACATTGGATGTGGTGAGCTTCATAATTACTGCAGATGAATATTGATGTAAAGACAGTAGGTGATTATCGACTACAATGTCGAATTGTTGCGATTTGTTTTATACATTATTTCTACGATTAAAGTGATTACTTGGGAATTTTAAGGCCCAGAAATCCATAAATCTCCTTGCCGAACTTTTGTTTCGGCTTAGTTGTTGAAGATTTTCTTAACAAGAATTGGTGAAAATGCTTGGAAAGATGTGAGCAATTGACAGAACCACTTTCAAAACCTCATCGATTCAAGCTTTGGCGCTTCTGGTGTTCGACACAAAATCCTTGAAGTACAATAGCATTAGTCGCTTCTTGTTGAGAAACTGTGAATACATACGTGTTAGCCTTTCGGATTTCCTCTGTAGGGGGACTTGCAATCGATTAGCCTCGAAGCTGCCTCCTCGGCCAGTGGATATGAGCAGGCTAAAAACGAGCTTGTGCTTCCTTGAGGCAGAGATGTATTCAGAGTATAGATTCTCTGTTTTGCTGCACCAGTTTCGTACTTCTGTATTCTGTAAGGAGCGCGTGTGGTGCAATGGTTGGAGGCGCCCTGCAAGACACGTGGAATCGATCTTCGCTCCCATGGCCCACCAACCCTTCCAACCCTCCGTGGTCGGCAAACTGGTACCAGATTTATCTAGGAGGATAACAGCATTTGCTGGATACATCAGTAGGCCACCGCGAGTCATTGTAAAGGCCATGTGTGCATTCAATCACCTCCAAACGATGTTTAATGAAGTCGAATGCGTGGCACACCCTCAGGAATTGATCAACGCCGAGAGCTTTGTTCTTTTATCCTTTTATTTCACTTCTGTATTTACAGTTTCCATGCTTGTCTGTGCCTTTATGGTTGTGTTCGCGAAGTAACGCATTATATCCTAGAAGTCAAATCTGCCTAAGACTGCAATCAAGTAATTGTCCACTTTATAGGATGTTAGGAATCACCTTAAGCGAGTAACTTTTCTATGTACTCTGGGACTCATTTATTGAAGGCGATCCTCAGCCTCTTTTCATATTCTTCCCAGTCCTTTAGTTTCATACTTTTCACCGAACTGAAGGGTAGCATATATATGAAAGCACACCACGTACGCTTGCTTGAATGATCCAACATACATCCAGAAAGTGTATGTCTACTAAGCGCGATAATAGACAATCCGTTCTCTCAACTCAAATGAGTCTCAGAGAAAGGGCGAAATTCCATTCGGTCCACGTTTCACCCTCCATTCCACACAGTGAGGCGAGCCAGATACAACTAGTCGGCCATTGACAGAAATGCACGGCGACGAGTGGATAATGAGTGCGAATGTTAGCAAGAAATTAAGGATATCAGCCCTAGACAAGGCTGTTGCCTGCATCCGTGAGCAATAAATGCTTTCCAAGGCGAAGGGTTGAGAGTATGAAGCCCAGAATTGGTGAATTTAGTTTATACCATAGAAAGTGTGAAAGTTGTTAACAGAATCCTTAGTTATTTCGATATCAATTTAGTTTTAATACTCTTCAAGTTACCCTCATCTTTTTCGACATTTTTATTTTTTTCCTTATTCTTTGTTTACATCGGACATACGATAAAAATCTTTTTGTTTTTTTCACATATGGGATGCTGCATTTATAGCCTCTGTCTCATCTCCGAAAACTAACAACATTGGCTGATAATCGTCGAAAAGTCACTGTTTCTGGATGGGGTCGGTTGCAACTTCTTTCCAAGGTGCTTCTTCACTTTTATCTCTTTTTCTTTTCAAGCCTATCTGCATAATGCCTTCAGCACTATTTCGAAGCCGTCGAAACACTTTTATGGTATAAAGTTTTAATTTGCTCATAAGCTTACACGAGGTTGTTATAAATCTTTATCGACGCAACACCACTCTCTACTTCTGCATGCTGGGTGAAGCTAGGTCACTTTAGCACCGCTATGGCCCTATATAAAAGGAGAGTACTGGGTGAAGCCACCATATTCGTGAGGCCCTCCACTTCATCAGATTTTACTCGAAGCGACGATTACCAAGATCGACATCGCAAGAAAAAGCGTTTATTGTGGGCGTTCGACTAGAATCATCGTGGCGCTGCAGGGCGCTGTACTGCGAAAACGTTAGCCACAATTCGTAGCAAATAGGCTTACCAATAAACTAAAACGTTGGTTACAGATTTTTGAGGACAACTCTTATTTCTTCTTAAAATTGGGATTTACTAAGGTAAGAATGTCATATTAACGATATTAGTATACAAGCAAGGGGCGAATAGCACAGTGGTAGTGATATTGGTCATCGCGAGCATGGTACTAGCTCGATTCTGCTCCGAGCCAACCAAGCTTCTTATCCCTCTGGGGTCGGGAAATTGGAGCGGGGCTTGTCTGGGAAGAAATGACTCTCTGCAATCCAATTGGGAACGCTCCGGTCCGGCTTTCTCAGGACTCCAGGGAGAATCGACTCGACCAGCATTCTACGACATTCAAGATGAAATGAAAATCGTCGAGCAGTAGCCGAACCCACATCTAAAAGTTGAAAGATCTTCGTGGACAATAGATGCGAGGAAACGAATCGAATGTGAGGAGCACTGGGATTCACAAAGTAGACTTAAGGACGAGTCATATAAAATAAAATAAAAAAAACAAAAAAGCTATATTGAGCTGTAGTTTTTTTTATTCTTGTATTGCATTTTGTATGTAGTTTTCTCTTACTTTTTTTCTCCACTTCTTCGCAGTGGTTTTTCTCGTAACAATTTTTTATTGTCTTTAGAATTATCTTCAAATGACACATTTTTTCATGCCGTCTACAAAGATGTTCATCTTCGGATCTCGTCCAACCAATCATCGTCGATCCTTATCGCTCCGTGGAGGTCAGTGAAACATTGATTTAGCTGTGCTAGCACCTTTTAAACTTCTACGAGTTGCTTAACTTTGATATATTATTCACGAAGAAAAAACTTTAGTCCATCGACCTACTTCAATTCAATAGATTCAGTGCAAAAAATCCACAGGAAATAAGATCCTTCATCATATGTGCCTGAATTCCATTCTCTGTAGATGTTAACGGATAATCTGTGATAAAAAAGTCTTCCTGCCGGATCAAAATGAAAATTTATAGACGCGTATCCAGCTTCCACAAAACGAACCTTGGTCGGGATATTTATAGCTCTAGCCGGATGCCATCTGATTCAGATGGGGCCTAGTAGCATTGCAAATCCATACGAGCTTCAACTTATAGCTCCTATTGTTTTTGCCTCATAAGGCATGTGTTTTTCATTTTATTACGTATTCAGAGCACATTCCTTACTCCGTACTATCCACATTCATTTGGGGCGCGCACATGATTAGAGGAGGTGCCCTGCAACACACTCTGAATCGATCTTTCGATCCGATGCGGTGTGTTCACCGAGCCTTCCATCACTCCAGAATCAGGAGATTGGTTTGGCAAGAGTATAGCATTGAGCTTCCTGCTGCTAGTCATTGTAAAAGCTATACGTCCAGTCATTCACATCTGCGAATCTTGATAAACTCGAATGCATAGGATCGCTCTGTGGAAATGATCATTGCCGAACGCTTTATCCTTTAAGCTCATCCTATATCCGATGGAACAATCTGTAGTTTTGTTGCGTATACACTGGCGAACTATTCCGTCCACACTTTTTCCTAACATATCGAAAGCATTTTCTTGCAAAGCTAATCCATTCACTGTAACTTTTATATTACATGACTCATAATGCGCCCTATAGAGGATTAAAAAAAGGATTAGCTCGGAGTTCAGAAATCCTTGATAAATGCATCATGCATTCAAATTCAATAAAAATCTTTAGAGGCGAATGGATTCATGTTTGCCTTATGCAATAACTTGGGATGGGCTCTCATTATATCAGCGGTGGCTTTGTTTTCCTTGCCTGGTAGCAATTTTCCGACCTCGGAGCAATGGAAGGCTTTGGTAGACCGTAGCGTGGGATCGGACCAACCACTGCATGCGCATTGCAGGGCACCTCTAAGCACCGCTAGTGGTTTCATTTGTTCCACAAAATTTTTTCTATTTCGTATATTTTACGTTCATCCAAAACCATGCTCCCCAACTGTGATAGTAAACGCAGGGCGGAACCACGTTTCCGTTTACAAAATCTTTGCCTCTAGAACCCATTTACTGTAATAGAAATGTCCCATATTGTCAGCTACGAAGAACCACTGGTACTAAATTCGCAAGAAAATTGGAAAAAAGACGCTTGTCATGCAGAGATTAACCCTCATGAAAGTAAGAAACATACAATGTTTAGATGCCGGTCAGTTATCGTTGACAATGTGAAATCATGTCCTGCTATAGTCCTCGGACCCACTAATGGCTCTGTCGTACTCCGAGAGGTAAACTGGCTAGCATTTTAAAACACTATATTATAGACAGGCCTATTTTCACAACTCGAAAGTATTTCGCTGGCACATCTTGCAACAGTTTCAAGGACCGACTTTCTATTAAGCTGTGGGTTTGGTCAAAAATATGTCGCTTCCTTGTTTAGCAGTAGCGAGGATGTTGCACAGTAGCTCATCTCCAATGGAAGGAGCGTTTCAAAAAAGGGGCTGTGAAATCGGCACTGTTGTGTTCTCTTTTTTGTACGGAAGTAAACGTGTGCTGTATAACAACTCCGCGATTGCTGAAAAAGAAAACGATATCCAGTGCTAGATTAATGTCACATCGACTTAAGTTCTTTGTTGTTGTGGATAAAAGCTAGGAGATGATGGAAGGTAGGAAAGTATCGAAGCGAACTCTTGCTGTAACATTAAACACTTATTTCTGTTCCTACCAACACCTTGTTTACGTCGTGCTAGATTGGTCTGCCATTGTTAGAATAGTCAGAATTTTTCCATGGATGGACAAATTTCAGTTCTGAAAAACATTTGAAATTTTAAAGTTCTAGTGATAAAGCAAGTTCAAACCCCCTGTCTTCATTGCTATGCATTTTCTTGGACAAAACAACAATATCATCAATAGTTCCCAGGATCGACTTCCTATTATCCTCGGCATTGGAATACAAATGCGTCGTTTTCTTGTTCAGCAATCGCGAGCTTTTTAAACAGCATACATTTACTTCCATAGAGAGACACAATACAATACAACGCTAGCTGACGTTTCGGCAGTATCGCCTTCTTCAGAGCCTGGAAGGGTACACTGATATACAATCTACTAGGCCAAACGCTTCAATAACACTTACAAAAAGACGAAGAACTCTCCGGTAATTACATAGTCATCAGATTCTCGAAGAACTCACCACTTTTTACGTGACTTCCAATGAGGAAGTTTAGAACAGCTGATTATAGTTGCATGTGGTTGACGACTGCACCATCCCACATCAGAAATTGATGCGAACATACGGGGTCAGGTCGCGTATGACCTCTGGGCATTCATCCCTGTTATTTATTCATTGTAGGGTTTTGGCATTGATCCAAAAAGCCTCTAGGAGTTTTCGCGCTGGTGTTTTAGTCTCCTGTGCAAGGATGTTGACTTTTACTTCAAAATCGTCTCCGCTATGCTTTTGTATCCTATGCGTGCCTAGTGGGGTGCTTCGTCTTAGTTTTCGTTTGCCATCTAGGTGTTCTTTTATACGGATACACAAAGGTTTACCTGTTTCGCCAATATATTCATCTCCGCAATTCTTACAAGAGATCAGGTATATACGCAATTTGTTGTTTCACATAGACGGTTATACAGGCGCTTACGAAGTAATTGACGACGTAGAGTAGCCGGTGGTATTTCAACTATCGATACCGATTCCTCTAGGCCTGCCCTTCCTAAGCATCGTTTTATAGCTACACTTACTTCATCGCTTATAAAAGGCAACATGAACGGGACTTTCTTTTGGTCAATCACCTGATGATCATGCGTCAACCAATCCGTCATCATTTAAGGTTAGACCGATCATCAACTGTGTAGACGGGCCAACGGATAGAATAACCTGATTTTTAAGCCTGATACCTACCCAGTTGCTTAACCACATTCCAGCTCACTTCGCAAACACTCAAATGTACCTAGAACGTCTACTTAGCGCGTCTCCTAATAACGCGTACGTGATGGAGTCTCTCGACGTTACCGCACTGTACACCAACGTGTCAAATGACTCCGCAATGCAAGCCATCTTCTTCTTGAACATGAAGGAAGAATAAATATGCATGGCTTGTCCATCCAGCAGCTAATGGCTCTCTTAAAGGAGTGCCTAAACTGCTCGATCTTCAGATGGTCTGGGAAATATTTCGCGCAAATAAGGGGGTTGGCAATGGGACAGCGATTGGCGCCAAGCCTTGCCATTGTGTTTATGTCTAAGATAGAAGCCCCTGTCTCGATCTCCGGCCACTACTCTACTGCAGATATGTAGATGATTGTTTTGTCGTCTTCTCTACGCAGGAGATGGACAAATGCTTTGAATTACTGAACGAGCAGTCCGAGTACATAAGGTTCACCCGGGAGAAACCGAGGAAAAACTTGCTTTCGTTTTTGGACGTTCAAATAAACCTATCAAATAGCGGTCACCTGACAAAGTGGTATCGAAAGCCAAGTAACAAGAACATTCTTGTTCATTTCCTTTCTTCCCACCCTTCATACACAAAGAGGGCGATTTTGAGAAATATGTTTCGAACAGCCACCTCTGTGTGCACTACCAGGGAACTAAAAGAAGAATCGCTCGACTTGGCTCGGCAAATAGCCATCTCCAATGGCTACGAAATAGTAACCCCACGAGATAAGTTTAGAAGGATAGCGACGCGCCCACGCGAGACACTTGGCCAAAAGAAAGTCCCGTTTATGTTGCCTTTTATAAGCGATGAAGTAAGCGTAGCTATAAAACGATGCTTAGGAAGGGAGGTCTAGAGGAATCGGTATCGATAGTAGAAATACCACCAGCTACTCTACGTCGTCAATTGGTTTGTAAGCGCCTGTATGACCGTCTATGTGAAACAACAAATTGCGTATATACCTGATCTGTTGTAATAATTGCGGAGATGAATATATTGGCGAAACGGGCGGTCCTTTGTGTATCCGTATATAAGAACACCTAGATGGCAAACGAAAACTAAGACGAAGCACCCCACTAGGCACGTATAGGATACAAAAGCATAGCGCAGACGATTTTGAAGTAAAAGTCAATATCCTTGCAGAGGAGTCCAAAACACCAGCGCGAAAACTCCTAGAGGCTTTTTGGATCAATGCCAAAAACCCTACAATGAATAGCAGGGACGAATGCCCGGAGGTCATACGCGACCTGATCCCGTACGTTCGCATCGATTTTTGATGTGGGATGGTGCAGTCGTCAACCACATGCGACTATAATCAGCTGTTCTAAACTTCTTCATTGGAAGTCACGTAAAAAGCGTTGAGTTTTTTTGAAAAGATGTCGATCACCTAATTACCAAAGAGTTTTTCGCCTTTTTGTAAGTGTTATTGAAGCGTTTGGCCTAGTAGATTGTATATCAGTATACCCTTCCAGGCTCTGAAGAAGGCGATACTGCCGAAATATCAGCTAGTGTTGTATTGTATTGTGTTTTTCTATGGAAGTAAATGTATGCTGTTTAAAAACCTCGCGATTGCTGAACAAGAAAACGACGCATTAGTATCATTAATGTCTACACCACATAATAGGAGTGATTTTCTGAATTTCACTTCTTCTTCACCTATGTGGTGGCGCAGTTGCTAGAGGATTGGGTCAACATTCATACGCCTGATTCCGGGCGAAGGCTGTTCAGGATTTTCATCTCTGTGGAGGCGGCGAATTGGTGCCATATTTGTCTCTCATGGTTGCAACACCGATTTCGCTCATTGACGAACTTTTGTAAGCTATTATTTCATTCAGACAGGAATTCAATCACTTCAACGATGCTTAGTGAATTCGACAGTAAAGCACAAAAATAAAAGATTGATCACTGCTAAAGGATTTACCACATTATTCTTAAGTTCCCATAAAGCACAATTTCTGAAGGATGCGTGAAGAATAAAACGTTGCATTACGATCAACATATTTTCCTTCGTGTGAGCGCAAGGGCGCGTGTGGCAACACACACATGGGATCGAGCCCAGCGTCCGTGACTCACCAAGCTTTCCATCCCTAGGGTCGGCAACTTGGTACCAGACTTGTTTAGGAGGATAGAAACACTGGCTCGATATATCGTTAAGCCACTCCGAGCCACTGTAAAGGCCTGATGTGCACTCAGTCACCTCTAACGGTGCCTAATGAAGTCCAATGCACGGCGCATCTCTCAGGGATTGATCGACGCCGAGAGCCCTATCCTCTATCCTCTATATTTTCTCTTTTTGGTTTAATACGAAATTGTCTACAAAAGTTTAAAAATATATTATGATAGTATAAAATGTTGTACTCGACCCTATTACCCTTCCTTGTTATCTTCAGGTGCATCGTTCGAATATTAGTGTGATGTGCAGACAGTTGTATCTTTGGAATTGTTCCTCCGTTACCGTATTTTTGCACACATTTCGGCCACCGGTATTACGTGGATGCAGCCGCGTTCAATTTTCCGTCTTCAATGTTTCTTACGAGGTCAGCTGTTAGTCTATCCATTTAGTATTTTGCTCTCCAACATCTTTCCCTATACCATGATTATTTTTTTTCAATTAACAGGGTATAGAAGAAGAAATTGAAGCGGTAGGTCTCAAATCGGCTCGATACAACTTGATTACTCATGTGCTTAATGTAAGTGTTTATTTCTATCTGTCCTCCATAGCAACTATTAAGATGCACCTAAATTTTCTTATCCACACTGTTATCAAGGGCGCGTGTGGCGCAGTGGTTGGAACCGCCACCGCGACACACATGTGGAATTGGTCCTCGCGCCTATGGTCCACCAAGCCGTCCTTCCCTCAAGGGTCGGCAAATTGGTACCAGACTTGTCTGGAAGGATTTCAGCACTGGTTCGATACATTGGTAGGCCACCGCGAGTCATTATAGAAGCCAGGTTTGCATTCAGTCACCTCCAGCGATGTTTAATGAAGTCGAATGCATGGCGCATTTCTCAGGGCTTGATCAGCGCCGAGAGCTTTATCCTTTATCTTTTACACTGTTATCGTGTCACTAGTAACAAGTATTTCTCTGTTTTTATTGTTTCACTTATCGTGTGGAAATACCTTGCTCCTTAGCTGGACGAATCCGAAACTTCAATACTGCCTCCATCTAACTTCTATATCCAACCGGTTCCTATGGTTAATAACGAGAAGGATGTTGAGGTTCCTCGATAGATTTTACAGTAGAAATATGGATTTTCTTAAAATTGCACCAAATACTCAATTCACTTTAAATATGGTTGCTTTCTAGGATCTTCTCGTTAAGCTTCCGCCAGTATACCGTCGAAATTGGGCGAAGTTATCGAAGGCGTTGGAATCATCAAAATCCCATCCTGATGACAACTCTAGCTTGCCATTAAAGAAAAGCGATTTAATCTACCTAAAAAGAAAAGTTGTTAACGAAGAATCTAAAGTTGACAATGAGTAAAACAAAATCTGTTTCTAGTCGATGTAAAATGTCAGCTTAGTAAAGTCTATCTAGAGTTTCTAAGCCGAAATTCTTCACCTTGTTAGAATTCTAAGAGTGGTAAAATGTTGTATCTCAAATTTCCAGGACGTCTACACTCGTCCGTCTTTATCTGGGAATGGCAATTTAAGCAGAAATGTGAGGTTGTGAACAGTGCTTTTGCTAAGTTCTGTGCAGTTCAAAGGCTGCAATAAAGTGGGTGACACAGGTTCGACATCACTATTGGTGTATCAAGACGTTAATTATTAAAAGCGCAATTATGTGAATAGTGGACAGCTGCAATATTGCCGTGATTTGTTGCCAACTCTAAAATTCTGAAAAGTTGGCATGTGAATTTGAAAGTATTTCTTTAGAAAAATAGTTTTGACCACCGCAAGCTACTGTTTAAGTCAGCTGTTTTCATTTGAGCACCTCTATGTTACTCAACGGAGTCGGGCTCCCAGAGCTGAACACTCACCGTCACCAAATTGCGTTGTTTTGTTCTTACTTACCTAGATAATTGAATGGCACGTCTTCACTGGATTTGCAGGCCGCAGCATAATTTACATTTGCTAGTTCAGTCACTGTAGTTCTCAGGAGTCCCGATGTCAGCCTAGCCAAACTCTGTTCCAGGTCGTCACCACCACAGGGAGTCGCCGGCCTTGTGGATCAAAGCGATATTTGCCACCTTGTGTCAGTTTGGTACCGAGACAGTGGTAATTCCTGGTGCTCGCTTGCTCCTAGCTGGGTTTCCAATAGAAACTCGGACTCCTCCTCAGCTTGGGAGACTCCGCTGGAGAGATGAATCCCCGCGCTGTACATTGCAGCCCGATACCCAGGAACACCATCCAGCCACGATGAGGCGGTAAACCATCGGGAGGATCGTTTCTACTTAAAGCAATAAGAAAATGTGAAAGTAGAACCGTATGTTTGTCATCAACAGAGGAATAATGTTTCGTCTAGTTTTAGAGGCGAAACCTCCTGAGGAAAACCACGCTACTGAAAAGCGCTAGCCGCCTACTGAAGAAAAAGATGACATACTTGACACAATCGGGACCAGCGCACTGTATTTTATGCTCATTTGTTGAGCAGTGTACCCTATATTACATATTGCCCAGCGAGTTTTTGCTCCGAAGGTTTTCTGCTCTGCCAATGGTTTGTCGAGTGAAGGCGTTACGTGTGACATATCCCCCGCAAAACTCTTCTATTTACTCAGTAATTGTTACTGAAAAGCCAACTGAAGATTGAACTTTCCTTGGACGAATTTACTCCAAACTTGGAACCATTACTATTAAAGAGGGTTTGTATAATAGAGAACTGTCGGTTGTGAAGACGGAGTCGAAACTGCTTTACTTGGACACTGGAATTCGACACCTAGAGAGAGTTTTCAGTACAGTGATATGATAAATCACTGCTAGGGCCTTTACAGTGTGGCTCGGTGTTCACAGAGTATCCCATTATGAATGTGAAGCTGTTTCCAGAAAATTAGTCAAGCCTGTCACCTTTCTGTTTTGCATTTATTTTACAATCCACAATTTAAAATTGTTCCGTACATATATACGTAGTACATCTCATATATGTATAGATAAGTACATATATTTCAAAAATAAGTAGCAATTTTTGCATCAGCCTGCAACGATCGCCTACGAACAAAACTCTTGGTTTCAATTACCTGAGGTTTTAAAGACTTGGAGAAAAGGATCGCGGAAACTGTAGGCAGCTTAGCAATGTCCTTTTTCATACCTTTCCATCAACGCCATTTCACTGTTCCGACTTTGTTATGCTCTCAACCGTACCTTACTTAATATCCAGTGGATGGGTTTCTTGGGCGGTCCTTTCTTTTTCTATATGTATATGTACATGTACATGTATGTTCTGGCAACAACGTAATTTATTCCAGCTAAGGCTCATTTTGAACAAATATTTTAAAAAAAACCAAAGATACGGTCAAGACTTAGCTCTGATTTCATGAGAAACATAGTACGAAGTTGAGGAAGTAATAAGCAAGTACTTTCTTGTTGCCGTTCTAATATATGAAATTCATCTCCAGGACGATTTGAATGATGTGTGAAAACTTACTCTCTCTTAAAAAGGAGTGCCGCGTTCGTTACCTGATCGAGCACACTGTAATAATTCCGAACAACAATCTGCACTGAAAGTTACGTGATCAAGCTGCAAATCTCGAGAAGATGACACTGGAAAACTGACGTTTACTTTTAAAGTTTGGTTTTCTCTTTCGAATGTTGCGAATTCAGCAATACTTTTGGGAGTGCACATATCTTGAACAGTGAACAGTTACGGTGATGTGTGCATATATATAAACATATAAATACATATATATGCATATATACACATATATATACATATATACAACGCACACACGTATACATACACATACACACATGCACGCACGCATACATGCACACGTATACACACATACGCACACAAACACGTACAGAACACACACATACACACGCACCTACAGACGCACACAACACACACATACACGTACACACACACGCACGCACACACATACACACACACATACACACAACACACACACACAACACACATACACACACATACATATACACACATTGTTAAAGACTTGGAAACTACACAAGTTTATAATGCTAGTCTAACTAGGAGGAACGGCTCAATTTCTTACCTTATTTTCAACGTAGTATTGAGGATGAAGTAAAGCACAACGGGTAACAAGCATTACTTTATTGAAGACAGAAACAGAAACAACAACCGGAGCAAGTGTAGTTCCGTGGGATCTAAACGCTAAATCATCCTATGTTCACGCTGTAACATAGAACAGTGGGATTCCCGCAAATTTTTCATTCCACACTTTAGAACCGAAGCGGCGACAAAAAGTGCTTTAAAATATATATACAAATGTTTTTTCATTTTATATGAATCGTTTTCACATCTACTGGGCGGACACCAGCACCTTACATTCGATTCGTTTCCTTCCATCCACTGCCCACGAAAATCTTCTAAATTTTACGTGTGGCTTCGGTTGGTGTTTGAGGATTTTCATTTCATCTTGAATGTCGTAGAATGCTGGTTGAGCATTTCTCCCTACAGGCTTGAGATAGTCGGGTTGGAGCGCTCTCATCTGGATTGCAGAGTGATTTTTTCCCAGGCAAGTTCGGCACCAATATAGTACAAATAAACATATATATATATATATTTGTATACATACATATATATGTATACATATATATATATATATGTATTAATGCAGTTGCTAGTGGAAAATACGCTCAGTTCTCGGTACCGAATAGTCACTAGCTTTAAGCAGAATGCTCGACTTCATGAGAGGACGCCACACGGGACTTTTCGTAGCTCTCACATGGCAATACGTCAAACTTGGTAAATAAACCGTTTATGTATATAAATGCAACATCAATACAGTACTGATGTCGACGAAGAACTACTGGCACACAAATAAGGCAAGTTTAAACCTATGAAGTGCTGTACCTACTACTGAAGTGAGGCCAGCAAAGGCATAAGAATATTGTAAATAACACTATTATAACTTTAGCACTATGATAACAGAAACTCGATAACAATGACGAGTAAGGGGATGCGGATGACGGCGCCCGCACTGGGGCGTACAATAGCCCAAATGCCGAGGGCTAAAAAAGCAGAATAGTGAGATACAGACAAGCCGTGCATTAGGCTGTACTAGAGAACATATCTACAGCGGTTTGGTGCACTTCCACACTAATCGACGACGACAGCAAGTTACCTCAGCATTGATGGTGCAAGTGACTACGAACGAGATGAGTCATCTGCGGAACACGGTCAGGCGGCTGGTCTTGGATAACGATATACTGCAACGTGAAGTTTGCGCATCGATGGGTGCCACCATTGCCTAAGATAACATGGGCCAGAAAGATGACAACTGAGAAATGATAAGCCTATAACGGCATAACAAATACACACTATAAGTTGGCCACTCACCACCCTTGTACTCATGGCGCACAGTGTGGGAGGAATGGTACATGCCACCGATGGCGTTGCAGACAGAAAGCATTTGAGGATAGCAGCCGCTACTAACAGTGCACCGCAGACCAATTGATAAACAATGAGCATTGACATAAAGATGGGAATCAGGATGATGATGAGGATACATTGGGTTGATGGGAAGCGTGACGTAGTGACGGTGATGCTAAACTAATGTTCAATTCGCAGCTGTCATTTAATAATAATATGATGAAGTTCATGTATAATAATGACTACGTGCAGTATGACTTAACAACTACGGTAACCTACATTGGTGACACACGAGATCAATACGGTACGGATCTAAAAAGCGGACGAACCCTGACAGGGGCGGACCAGGTTAGTAATCCCACAAAAGTATTTATATGCTTCTGGAGAACCCGGTATTTGGCACATGTCCAAACATCTTTACCGATAACATTCGTCCGCTACGCTTTCCAAATCCTCTCAAAACCAGAGATCAGCTGGCGGAAGACTGCTCTCGCAAACATCCTCATGCCCTCCTTGTTATTGTACGCATGACTTTTGGACACTAATAACAAACAACAAGTTCACACTGCAAAGTCAGTGTCGTCCAGTTCAAGTGACTACCGCGAAGTGTTTTCCGCTACAGCGAGGTCTATAAAAACGGAGCATTCACCAATTCGGCCAAATATCAAACATCAGTAGGACCGAGAAAATTTGATTCGAACGTTAATTTACCTTAATCTGGTTTTGTCAATACACACATGATCGGCGAAATACTGCATTACATAAGCTCCTCGTGAGAGTCCATGGCATTACCAGGTCTTGACCCATCTTGACTGAGACTTGAAATTCAAGTTAGTAAACGGTAAAGTTTCATGCCACATTAGGAAAAATCTAATGCCGTGTTTTCCTTGTAATTTCAAAGTAGCATGCAGAAATTTGTGCACTCCCACTACGTCAGATGAGAGGTAGCACAAACTCGCATGGGAAAACTATTA